CAGGATATGACTGATGTCTGTAGATTGCTCAAAACATCCTGAAGGAGTGTTCAGAACAAGTGTCACCATACTGCCAGTCCTGTGAGAATCACTGAATGCCAGCTTGTTGGAAGAGGCCCGTTTCCTAACTGCCACTACACTGATACGGCATTGAAAATTTCACTGTGGCCTGTGACTCACCTCAGCATGCTGACCCTCAAAATCCCTGGGTTCCTGTATAGTTGAACTGAAATGTTTAAAGTTTTGATCAGTTTGTGTCATAGGCAGTTTCTATTACAGTGTCTTTTGCTTTTTCTCCTTTTCTCCTTTTCTTATGTTGTCTTCCTTTCTGACTTTCTTGTTCCCACAAAAGAAAGTTGGGAGGTGTTGGGAGGGTTAGAGGTCCATGATACTGTAGCAGACCTGGGACTGAATGTACAGGTGAATACTTTGCACTTGCTGATGGGTCTGTGTTGGAGAAAGGCAATGTGGAAAGGGAGAAATTTCTAGGCTGTTGTCACTTTTGCTAAGCATTTACAGAAATAAAACAAGTTTCTACTTCATTCGAGTAAGTGTCACTGTGTTTTCTTACTTTTTTTTTTTTTTTTTTCGGAACTGGGGATTGAACTCAGATCTTTGTGTTTGCCAGTCAAGCACTTATCCTACTGAGTCATCTCCCCAGCCCCTTACTTTTTGTTTTTCATTTTAAAGAAGTTTGTTGAAACAAGAAGATGCTTGTGTTAAAGGGAAAATTATGTGGGATTGTTTTTCTTTAATGAGAAATTTATTCCAACTTAAGACAGATTGCTCTTCAAGTGACTGTGTTTTTTATCACTTCTCAAATCACCTCCTGCCTTTTTTCCAAGAGTGTTTTTGTTCCCAGACTTCCATCATGCTGTGTAGTATATTTCCAAATCTTGTGTAGACTGAGTAAAAAAGAATCACAGGTGTACGTCCATTGGCAAAGGAGAAAGCAAGTTCTTATTTTGAAGATGCCGGGATTATGTGCTGAGACAGTAGGAACAGAAAAGG